AATAAAAATACAAGACAAATAATAAGTAAATAAATAAGAGTAAACTGTTGTTTCACATACTATAAACCTACGTTCGCCCACCGGTGTATAGGACTGTAATGAGCACTGCAACACCAGTGGCCCTAGCTCCAATTTCAGCAACATACCACACAAATATATATACACACTTGCCTGCCCTTCCCCCGAGTCTTTGTGACAATGCCAAACACTACATATACTTCCAAATATTCCACAGGGGGTAATGGGAAAAGCTTCACACACACACCCAATTATTCTACAATAATCCCTTGACTGAAGGTAGCACAGAATAAACAACTGCAAATAACAACCTGAAACCACTGAGAGTTCAATAGCACAATGGCCCATTGCTAATACAAGAATATTATAAATTCTTGTCATAAGTAATGGGTTTACATGGCACTGGTCAGCCAGTCAGGTTATTTATCCAACATCCACTTTACAATTTCTATTGTCAGGGATTACTGGGGGGAAAAAAAAAAAACAAAACAGAGCTTACATTCTGATGAGAGATAAGTAAATAATTTAATAAGTCAAGAAATAATTTTCAGAAGCATTCTATTTTATCATGTTCAAAATACCGTTATGAGGCAGCTGGGTGCTTGCTGCTCAAAGTTAGGAAAGGCCTTCTAAGACTTGATTGATTGGAAGGCTGCAGCACAATAACTGGTTGAAGTGTTAGAAAACAGAACAGCAGAAGGCAGCCTTGAGATGGAAATGGTCATAGCTTATGTGGAGGATAAAAAAGGCAAAGTATGAATAGAAGGGTAATGAAGAGTAGGAGCAGAGAGGTTAAGAAACATAAGATATGACCTTCCTTGGAAGCCATTTATTAGTTTTCAGCATGGGAATGTTGTGACCTAATTTTATGTGGCTGAATGGTTAAGAGTATAAAGAAGCAATGGAGAGCAGCGAGAGACTAAGATTCTTCAAATGGTACCTTAGACGAGATGGTTAAAAAGTGGTTAGATGCCAAAAATATTTTGGCAGTATAGACAGGACTATGAGTTCCTTTTAATACCACCTAAACTGCATAATTTAAAGAGTGAGGCTATCAGATGACATAACTTGTACTGTTGGCTTGTTATGTCTAGTTAACAATAGGCACTCTTTAACAAACTGGTATCAAACTAAAGCAGTAGGACCTCAGGCAAGCCAGCCAGCCTATTTACTCCTCTGCAGCATAAAAATAATTCCACTACCTTGAAAAATGGGTTGAGGTCATATTAAAAGGTAAAAATGTAGCACCCAGCAGGATTCTATGACTTCACAAGTACTTAACTGATAGTTTTATTCACCTTTAGAAATTTAGATCTTGCTTTCCTAGCTAGATTATCTTCATTTAGATATGAATGGCTTTTATCCCCCAAAATACAAGATAGATGTTGGCTGAAAATAGGGTCATTTAAAAAGTTTGTGGCTGCTTGGTAGCTGCTTCTAACTTCATGCCTCTTCAGCTGTTAACATCAATTGACCCATTTTTACAGGTAATATAGACGCAAACTTAAAATCTACAACAGCTTTTAATCTATGAGGGGGGATGATTATTGAATCATTAAAAAAATAAAGCCCAATACATACACTACATTAATCTAAGGTATTCTTCAAGACACTTCCAGTGCAGGGAAGCAAAAGACAGTGCTTCAGCCTTTCCTGATCTATAAATAATGCAAAAAGGTTTTTTTTCTCAATCTGATTATCTACAACTAGAATGACAGTTCAATCATTTTATATAGAAACTCACCTTGGATATAGTTGTAATTCAAGTAGACTATCATAATTAAAGTCAGTTTTCAAAATATGCTCCACTAAGGAATATCTTTAAGGGAGGGGTACTCATTTCCACAAATGAATACAAAGTAGCAAAACATATCCAAATCAACGTGAGTTTTGCAATTTTGAAGAATGATTTCCTCAAAAATCTAGTCCTCACTTTTACTGTTGGATTGAGGCAAATCTCCCAATTCAATTATCACCATAATCTTAGCCACAATAAAGCATCCTTTTTAAAAAAGCAATGATATGTTCCAGGGAGGAGAGGGTTTAAAAAAGGCTAAATGACAATGGAAAAAAAAATTTAAAATTTAAAACTAAAAAAGGAAAAAAAAAAAGCAATCATGTTCAATTCATCCCAGTGGATATATATCACTACCACTAAGGGTACCCTTTTTAAAAGATTTTATTTATTTTTAGAGAGAGGGGAAGGGAGGGAGAAAGGGAAATATGAGTGTGCGATTGGTTGCCTCTCACATGCCCCCAAATGGGGCCTGGCCCACAACCCAGGCATGTGCCCTAATTGGGAATTGAACCAGGAACTTTGGGTTTGCAGGCCAGCACTCAATCCACTGAGCCACACCTGCCAAGGCAAGAATACCTTTCAAAAGCACCAAAATAAGGTGCAAAATCTATTTATCAGCCAGGAATAGAAGTACGTATGCCACCAGATAAGGACTTAAATCACAAACCCAGAAAAAAAATGGAAAAAGCTTAGGGTAAGAGTTAGTTCCCGGGCCAATCAAAATGGCTGTTTGGTTATCTAGGGAAAGTTTCTGCATTATAGTTAAAAAAATTAACTATATTAATAATTAGACTATACACTAAGCCTACAGCAATGCAATTTTGGACTATATTATCTGTTAAATCAAGGCAACTGTCCAAACCAAAACATATTTCACGTGTTTTTTATTGGTATTCAAAATCATGCTATGAATGGATTACATATCATCTTCTTCTAATGATGTCTGTCAGAGGTATCCAACTCGGGACCCATGATGGCTATGAATGTGGCTCAACAGACAATCACAAATTTACTTAAAACCTTTTTCTTTGTTCATCAGTTTTCATTAGAGTTTGTGTGTTACTGTGTGGCCCAAGACAACTCTTCTAGTGTGGCCCATAGATGCCAACAGGCTGGACACCCTAGTAGTTTCTGGACACTGTCTACAAACAAGTTCTAGTGAGGACCTACCATAATTTGTATATTGTGGTAGCAAGAATTAAGTAGCCTACACAAATGTTGGTTTAATTACTCCTTTTAAAAATATTAATACAGCCCTGGCAGGGTGGCTCAGTTGGTTAACCATTATCGTGTAAAACAAAAGGTTGTGGGTTCAGTTCCCCATCATGGTGCATACAGGAGGCAGCGTACAGTGTTCCTCACATCCCTGTTTCTTTTCTCTCTTCCCCTCTCCCTTTCTCTCTCTCATTCAAATCAATAAAGCATGTCCTCAGGTGAGAATTTTTTAAAGACTGTTAATACATAAATCATTACTTATAACAATAACTATACTTATTAAACAAAAGTAAGACTTTAGGTACTAACCTAGTAAACAAAATGGATCTGACCTAACTAAATTCTGTACTGACTTTCGGGGGTTTTTTTTGTAGCAAGATGTCACCTCACTGCCTTGTCAATTATTCTACATTTCCACATTAAAATTGCTATGTTATTACTACCTGGCAAAATGTACTATTTTTAATAGATTAAACTGAACCATTTCTAAAGTACTTTTCAGAACTTTAAAAAATTGTTATACCTGAACTGCTTAAACTAAAATTTGGACAGCTCAAAGATTACCAGTTAATGAGCTAGCTATACCCCCTCTAAAATAGAAAGCATTCTTTGAAGGAAGGAAAAATGAGCCATGATTTAAAAACAAATACCCAAACTCCTGAATTCTTTTTTTTAAAAGAAACCTATATTCTTCCAAGTAGCAACTTTTTTAATGCTAAATCTTTACCATATTCAATCATACACAAAAATAGAGAGATGGAAGCAACAGAGCAAACAAGGTATACTTCTTTTATGTTTATCCTTTAGGACTGACTTAAAATGCAATATATCTAAGTAGTGAGGGAAAAAAATAATAAAGTTTAAGAGGAGGAAGCTGTCTAAGGATTTTAAGTTTGCTTAGAATTACCCACAAAATATAAGGTAGATAAGGTAAATTTAACAAACATCTGCCATAGGGAACCATTAACCCTCAGCATCTTCAACTATAAAATGTAGAAACCTGAGTCACAAAATTTAATAAACCTAATTTGAAGGAGTTATGTAAGCCATAATTTGAAACATTAAAATTCTCTCTCTCTCTCTTTTTTTTTTTTAAAGTTGGGAAGCATGGCTCCGCTGGTTGGGTGTTGTCCTACAAATCAAAGATTCTGTCAGGGCAGATGCCTGGATCACAGCTGGGTCACTGGTTGGGGGAATGTGTGGGGGCACAACCAATCGATATTTCTCACACTGACATCTCTCCCTCCCTTTTTCTCCCTTCCTTCCCCCCCCCCAACCTCTATAAATAAGTAAATATCTTAAAAAAAAAAAAAAAAAAAGTTGGGAAAACACCCTGGCTGACATGGCTCAGTTGGGTTGGGTTTTATTCTGCAAACCAAAAGGTTCGATTGCAGGTTCGATTCCTAGTCAGGGCACATGCCTGGGTTACGGGTTCAGTCCCCAGTCAGGGCATGTGCAGAAGGCAACCAGTTGATGTTTCCCATCCCTCCCTCCCTTCTCCTCTCTTTGGAATCAATACAAGAAAAATTAAATTTAAAAATATCTTTAAAAAAAAGGTTGGGAAAAGCACTAGGTCCTCACCTAATATCTTGTATATTTAAATCAAGTCTTGTCACTCACCACAAAATCATGTATCTCTGTAACTAAAAATTTACCATCACAATGTCTTTGTAAAGTATTTTTGAAAAAAGGATGGTCCAGATACGGCCAAAATCTATGGGATCCCTATCTACTAGTTACTTTGTTAAACCTTTAACATTCCTATAAATTAAAAAAATCACTAGGCCGGATGTTTCAAAGAACCAGAAATTCTTCCACACTACCTTACAGACCCTGAATCTCATCAACTATACTTGCAAAGAATACTGCTACAATGTGTACACAGAGAATGTGAAAGGCAGGCACAGTAAAAAAGAAAAAATGACTTTAAAGATAGTGAATATGAAGACTGAAGGAAAAAAAAACTTACCAGTTTAACAGCCTCCTGAGCTGCTTCCTTTGTACAAAAAGTGACAAACGCATAACCTCTATTGAGACCTGTGAGTGGATCCATCATTAGACGAAGATCCCATATAGGTCCAGCTTTCTCAAATAATGGGACAAGTTCATCTTCAAACAGATCTCTTGGGATCTTCCCCACAAATATCTGTAAGTTAAATGTGAAGTAAAAACCATGGAGAGTTTCTTTAGGAACCCAGACACCTGTGCATTACTATAAACGGTACAAAGTTTTTAGTTTCTTTACCTCAGTGCCAACAGAAGGCTGCTGACCTGAATAAACGGAATCTGGAGGTGGTCCCCCATACTTCCTCTGTCCAGTGGTCACATCAAGTGTGTAGCCTGTTCTTTCCAAGAGTGCCTTTAAGAATTCAAATGTCATTAATACATTTAATTTACAAGACCATACCCATGCATTTAGCAGTTAAAAATAAAAATCAATCATGTTCAAATTTTTCCATTTATTTTGGCAACATTCCTACCAACCGGTTTCTGGTGTTTCAGAATTTCCTCTTTAATGTACACTTGTAATGGCCCCAATTTATAGTGAAAATCTCAAAATCCCATTCAAATTACTGGTGGTCTCTAATTATTGAATAGTGCTTAGAGAACAACAGGAAACATATGAATCCATTAACAACTTTTAAAGCACAGTATATCTATTCTGCCAATACCTCCTAAAATAATGACTGCACATAAGCTGGTTGACTTTAATTCTCTCCTGAAGGAGAAGCAGTATAAATCACCTCTCCCAAATCTGGATTTTTTACCCAGTAAATTCCCTATACCTTATATTCCTAGGTACACATTGCCACTGTGGGCAATTCCACCAACTTTACAGAAATTACATTCCTCAAACTAAATCCAGAAACTTAGGAACTACAGGAAGAATACCGCTTATTCATTTGACATTCATTTACCATACTTTACAGGACAGGACAGATCATTCAGAAAAAAAAAAGAGCCAAAATGACTTTGAAAATTATGAAATTGCAACAATGTGACAATTTCTACATTTTATCTCCCTGAAAATAAACTGTTAAAATTTATACAACTTATATTTACTCAGAGCATTGGGAGTTTCTCTTCATCTCTTATTACAGCAAAAGTACTAGAAAGAAACAGTCCAGTTAGCCTAAGGAAAAACCCAAGAATATTCCTCTTCTCCACTTACTCAAACCACAAAGCACAAACAGTTTTCTAAATAATAAAACCAATCCAATAATTAACTAATAAATCCTGAAATAAAAACACACCAGGCATATAGCTTTATCAAAATTCAGTTAAATGATTTGGAATCATCTGTCTCTGAAAATGACCAGACACATTTTAAAAACTTTCTACTCAAAGAACATAAAGTATTTATGAAAAAAACACTGTAAATGACAAAAAATCCTCTATTCCTAAACTCTAACAAAAAGGTCCACAAACTCTTACATATTTTAAGCAGTCTTTTTCTATTACACCCAAATGTTTGCTTAACAAAGCAACATTGGGTTAGCTTTAAAAATAAACTGAAATCTATTACTATCACATTAACAAAACAATTAAATGGCTCATCTTCCTTTCTTCCCATATGTAATCCCTGCGCTTCTTTTACCTTCATTTTTTGTATGACCCAAATAATACCTTTTATGCCAACCCCTAAAAACAAAAAGGAAAAACTTATTCCCTCTGTAAAACCACCTAGAAAAATGCCTGTTTTCTTGCCACAATTTGTTACAATAACACTTTAAGCCACTCCCTTCCAAAGATACAACTAAAAGTCACACAATTTAAACTTTAACCTTTAATAAAATTTTAATAATTCTATCTCCCAATGTAGACTTAATTACAATTGGTAAAATTTCTATGAAAAAATATTTATGATTCAAACACAATTCACTGACAGCTGGACCTGTGAAAGCCTCAAATTTATGGATGACAATAACAGCTAGCCATATTCTAAGCTTCGCTGTTCCTATACCATTAGAACACCACTTAACACCTATAACTGTTAATGATAACTGATTTTCTTAAATCCTAACTCTTGGCTCAAGAGCACTGGCACACTGTATTAAGAACACCAGGGCCCTGGCTGGCGTAGCTCAGAGGACTGAGTACGGGCTGCATACCAAAGCATCGCAGGTTCGATTCCCAGTCAGGGCACATGACTGGGTTGCAGGCCATGGCCCCCACCAACCACATATTGATGTTTCTCTCTCTCTCCCTCTCCCCCCCTTCCCTCTCTAAAAATAAATAAAATCTTTAAAAAAAAAAAAAAGAACACCAGGTTAACTAGTACAATCACCGTATTTTCTGAGCTAAAAACAACACAACTAAAAACCTAACACAAAGATCAAAACCTAGTTGATTTAGAGGCCATTTACTATTTTAAAGTACCTTTAACAAAAAACAAAAAACCAAAAACAAAAAGAACTTCCACTCCTCAGTTTCCTCATTTACATTTCCACACAGCTTTTAGAAATGAACAAATTAGCCCTAATAACCCATAATAATGGAGGAAAAAAGGGCAATATTAAAATTCTGTATTTATTTCACTTTAGGGCTTGAGAATTCTAAGAAAAGCAGCCAACTGCTACACGCATACACTCTCCACCAGCATGGGGTGAACTGATCCCCTCTCATTTTGGTTCCACTGTCAGCAACCTGGACTCGCAGATTTTTGCAAAAAAATATCTAAAAATAGGATGTGGATGTACTTCTTTACATTTTTTATTTAGAATACCAACAGCACAGGTTTAACATCAGTATAGCTGGGCAACAAAACAAATTATTTAGAATAGCAAACTGTTTTGAAACAAATAGTTAAAGGGAGAAAACTTTTCAAAAAACAGTAATTGGAAAATATTAGCCAATTATCTCATGGTCATTAATTCTCAACATAAACACACACACACACACACACACTCATTTCACACCTAAGGAGTATTTACTAAACCTATAAAATAGTGAAAAGAACTTTAAACTGACGGGAGCAAAATACCTTTTTTAAGACATACCTTAATTTTTGCCTCATCTGGTCCTTTGCTAGAATCCGCTACTTTGGTCCCCTGTTTTTCTCTCTGCCTATAAGTCTTCATGACTCCACATAAAAAGGCACTTTTGTTCTGAAAAGTAATTTTCCAATCCTATTTAATAATCATCTCATCTGTATCTTATTAAATCCAGTTTAAACTACATCAAAACTGCAAGGATTTTATTCTTTTTACAGACATTAAATTAATGTTACCTGAACATGAGAGAGATCACTGTCTTTAAACTGCTGAAGAACTGCCAATGCTCCGTCTTCATTGAATTCTTTTAAAGCTTCGATAGCTCTTTCATCTAAATCACTATGTGCAACAAGCCCTGGAGAAGAGAAAGCTTAATTAGTTGTCCACTTTTAATATTTTTGAAAATATTTTTAATGGAAAATACCATGTTTACCAACACAGGCAACAGATGCGCCAAGTATTATTCTATTCCTCTTACCATCTATACAATGAAAAACATACTTGAGCCATTCTTAACTGCAGTGTGAAGGCTTCTCAACAGCACTTAAAATAATAAGTCCGTTTCTTTTACATCTTGTGGTGTGTCTAAGTCAGATAGTTCTGTACACTAAGTATTTGTAAATATACAGGTTTAAAAATTCTAAAATCAGCCAACAAAATACCAAACCTGACAACTTAACCTCTGTCCATTTCAAACAACCACTAGAAAAAGCAACAGCCACGCCAAGACAGACAAACTACAAGTCTATAGTTACCAAATTATTTAACAAGAATCCTACTACAAAAGTCACATGGCCTGCTTCCAACAGATAACAGCTGTTGCTACCATCATACACTTATCCATCTGGCCGGCCAGCCTTTACTTCCTAACCTTTCTTTCTTCCCTCCCTCTGTATACAGGACACCTTAACCTCTAGTTCACAACTACCACAACAAGGCAAAACTCAACTCCAGTTCCCACACTTATTGGAAACCACAAAAAGTTGCTATTTTAGCTCAAAGCCAGAAATCCAATAGAAAAATTTCATAATATAATTTTGCAAGTGTTAGTTCTTACCTGCAACGTAAATTTCATCTAGTTTTTCAGCAACTTTCTGTGGTAAACCAGCATCAAGCAATGTCTGAAAATTTTCTGAATGGATAACTGCAGAAGTAGTATCCATGGGCTCTTCAGTACCATTTCCATTAACATGTTCTGTAGCCATGTTTCCAGAGATCTGTTCAAACGCAATAAGCAAAATTAAACTAGGATCTTCAAAAAGGGTAGAGGACAAAATGAGAGCCCCGATCTTTACTTTCTCTACCAATTTCTACACCAGCCAGCCTGCGCCTCCCTTTAAAGAAGCCTTAAAGTCACTAGCGCCTGACAAGCCTGATTTGGAGCGCGCGGCACAGAAGGACGGATTCACTTGTTTTTCCTTAGCACCACCCCTGACTCACCTGCTAACACTCCCTAGGAAAAAAACACATTACAAATGGAGCCCAATCAGCACGAGGACCAGCCAGCGTGCCACATGCAGCTGTGCCCATACATAGAATGAGGTTTGTGTGGATACAGCAAAACAGGGCTTTTCCCTCTCAAAGGTAAACCCCCAAAGTGCGCGCTTTTCCCGCCTGCCGCTTATATATCAGTAACAGCCAGCGAAGAACAAAGCGCTCACACAAGCTACCTTCCCACCACCCAATTTCTCCACCCTTCACCCCCGCATCCCAAAGCCCGCCCTCGACTCCGCACCCTGAGTGGCAGCCTCACCGCTAAGGCCACCATGAACCCATTAGAAACACGTGCTCTGCGCCTTCAAATGTCCTACAACTTCCTCCAACGGAAACCCACCTAGTCCCAGGCCAAGACGACCGTCACCGGCTCCCAACATCAAGCCGCGGTCTGAGTTCTCGGAAAGCACCAGCAGCACAACCTCACCCCTCACACTGAGGCCGCGTCGGCGCCAGGCCACAGGCTCTCCCCGACCCCCCCCCCCCAATCCCCAGTGCCGCCGTCTCCTCCGTGACACCTGGCTCTCTCAGCCTTGGGCGCCGGCGACCGCCCGCCCGCCTGCCCTGCCGCGCCGCGGCGCGCAGTGCAAGCCCCCATCCCGCTCCTGTCCATACAATAACTGCGGCGCCCCGGCCAGCTGTCCCACCCCCGACCGGGGCCGACAACCCGGCAGCGTGAGGGCGTTCCGCGAACTGCCCGTCGCCTACCGGCCTTCGAGTACCACCCAAGCCCGCCTCCCAGCTGCGGGACGGGACCGGCTCCTCTCCGCCCACTCCCGCGCCGCGGCGACAGCCACGACAGCACCAACTCCGCCGCCGCTCGCGGTCCGCGTGGGCCACGGGGCCGCCTCCTCCCCGGAGCGCCGCAGACAAAGCCCGAACGATAGCAGCACATGGAGTAGAATGGGAAGTGCCGGCGCGGACCGCGGCCTACACCCAAGCAGCCCCAGTCAACGTGCTCCTTTCCTCCTTGGAATCCATTTTCCAGAAAAGCCGGTTTCTCCCCACACCTCCCTACCCCAGCTCACTCCTCAATGTCAAGGAGCTCCCCTCCCAAACCCAGGTCCTGGCGGTCGTTACCTCCCCGTTGGGCTGCGGCGGAGGAATCCTGTCCGAGGAGATCAGGTTGCGGGAGACGCGTGCTCGCTGCTCCCTGTGTCCAGCGCGAGTGGAGCTGTTGTAAAATGGCGGCCGAAGCTCACGCCGCTGGCAGCAAACCCGATCCAGTTCCACTCGCCTCCGAGCGCGCTCCCTGTGCGCGCGCGCCCCCGCGTGACCCCCCCTTCCCTCCCCTCCCTCGCGCGTCCGCTTCTCTCTCACTCTCTCAGCCCCTGCCCTCCTTCAGCTCCTCCTTCTCCCCCTGCCACCCCTGCCGCCGCCACCACCACCACCAGCAGCAGCCTCCGTCTGCTTTCTTTTCTTGGCCTTTCTTCTTCCCCTCCCTGCTCCTTTCTCCCACCGGTACCGCTCTCGTCCGCGGCCTCTCAGGTACAACTGGCCGCCTTTCCTCTCTTCGCTCACACGCTCGCCAGCTCACTCACTCCCTCCCTCACTCTCTCGGCCCCGTCCCCCGGTCCCTGCCTAGTCGGCTCCTCTCTTTCTCTCTCCCGCGCTGACGTGACGACGTAGCCTACGCCTCGGGACGCGCGCCTATGGGCTCCGCCCCTACGCCCCACCGCCACTCTAGCTTCTCACCTCCGGGGAGCCGCGAGACCCCGCCCTTCCGCTCCGGAGGCGGCGGCGGCGGCGGCGGCGGCGGCGACGGCGGGGCCAAGAGTGAATGAAAGGCCCGCCCCTTCCCCTCCCGATACTCCACCTCCCGCTACCCTCCAGGCGGGGCGGGGCGGGCCCGCTCAGCGTGTTCCACTCGTTCTCCTTTGTCAGGAGACAGGCATCTCCCCACCCCGCCCCACCCCACTCCCTCTGCAGCACCGCGCGCACGCCACCCCCACTGAGTGCCCTCCCGCCCCACCCCCGACCCTTGTCCGTGGCTGGCGAGACACTGGGCTGGGGGCTCGGAACTGACCTTAGTTCCCGGGGCAGCACCCACCAGTCCGACCCCAGCCCCAGCCCCGCGGCCGCGTAGCCGTTCCAGGCGGTGTCCACGCCGCCGCCGCCGCCGCCCCGCGCTCTCACTCGGGAAACTGCAGGCGCACGTGTCCCCCGGGGCGGGGCGAGGCAGACAATGGAGCGGCCGGGGAGGAGATCGGCAGCGAGACCCGCGGACTTTAGGTCAACCTGGTTGTCCTGATCTCAGGGTGGGAATCTTTCTGGGGAGGTCAGGTCTCCCCCACTGGACAATGGGAACCCCCGGGGCCCCGCGCCGCTTGCTTTTAGGAGAACCTTGGGCTGGAAGGGGACGGGGGGGGGGGGGGGGTCCGAGGCTCAGACGTGGAAACCCCGGCTGCTTTAGAAGGGGAACGGGGCTGGGTCCAGCGGAGCGAGGAGTGGCTCCCGTCTTGGGATGATACGAAGGCCAGATTTGGAAGCGAAACCGACCGGTGAGGAGTTGTGCAATACTCCATTTCAGTCCCTGGCCTTTTAAGCAGTTAAGGGCTTCCTCATAGCAGTTTGAGCAACTTGAAGCCACACAAAGCTGCGTGGTTAAGGCAGCTGTGAAGAACATATCTGTTTTCAAAAATCTTGACAACTGAATCTTATGTGAAGTGACATTTCCTTTGTGACGGGTTGACTAGTTACACGAGAGACGAGACAAAGGCATTTGAATTTCAGACCCGGTATGGGTGCTAATTTATACAATGCAGCTCTAATGAATAGAGAGTGTCCTACTAATTTAAAAGCAAGCTTATTTTTAAGAGCTCACTGGTTCCCTAATAAGCTCTATGCTATGACAACAAATTAGTATAGTTGGAGAAAAAGTTAGGTGAGCACTCTTCAAAGTGCCTAGCACATAAAATGTCAGATTATTTTCATAGGTTCCTCAATCAAAACATGAAATATTTGACCTGAGGTATCCAATACCTAAAATCACTAACAAACCTCTACCTTCTATGGTATTCAGGTAATTCAGCAACAATTTAACTCATAATCTCAAAGTTATACAATGTTATAAATGAAAAACAAATAGCCAAAATGTTTAATTTAAAAATATGAAAAAAAAGAGTAATCCTATAAATTAAAGAATGAAAATAATAGATTTGAGCAATCCAACACTTTTTTTAAAAGATTTTATTCATTTTTAGAGAGGGAAGGGAGGGGGAGAGAGAAAGAGAGAGAGAGAAACATCAATGTGCAGTTGCTGGGGGCCCTGGCCTGCAACCCAGGCATGTGCCCTGACTGGGAATCGATTCTGCCATGCTTTGGTTCACAGCCCGAGCTCAATCCACTGAGCTATGCCAGCCAGGGCCCAACACTTTTTATTTAGATCTTCCTGGGGAATGTATGTTCATTAAAGAAAGTGCTTCTACCTAGGCAATGTTGTCTACCAGGTGATCAAGGACTCCCAAAGTAAAATATCTAGCTCTAATCCCTTTGTCTAACCACCCCCAAGACCTTTATTTGAGCTTTCAGACACTCCAAATCAACATTTTTTAAAAAACTGAGCACATGATCTTCCTCTAATCTTTCATGTCCAGAGTTCCCATCTCAATGAACATCACCCACTTACATCCAGCAGCATTACCTGGAAACCAGAGAGTCATCCAAGACACTGTCTTCTCTCTCAATGCCATATCTAATAATCAAGTCCTGCTAATTTTGTCTCCCTAATATATTTTCACGTCTCTCTATGTTGCAACCAGGGGTCATGGCACCATCACTTACTGTCTGAACTAATGATATAGCCTGCTAATTCATTTACTCTTACAGCTTTCCTAATTCATTCAAAACCCAAGTGACTCTGTCTCGCTGTCTCCCGCTCTCTCTGTTTCTCTGTCTCTGTCTCTGTCTCTGTCTCTGTCTCTCTCTCTCTCTCCATTTCCCTTTCTCTCTGTCTCTCTCCATCTCGCTGTCTCTCTCTCTTTCCCAAATAAGATCATATAGCACATCAGCCCTGACCACTGTGACTCGGTTGGGTATTGTTCTGCAGAGCAAAAAGGTCCTGGCATGGCTTTAATTCCAATCAGCACAGATGCCTGGATTGTGGGTTGGAGTGTGTATGAGAGGCAACTGATTGATGTTTCTCACCCCCTCTCTAAAAATAAATTTTAAAAGATTTTTTAAAGCCAAACTAGTACACTGATTTACTTGGTATGGTGGACCCACTGGGATAGACTGAAGGCAAAAGGTCTGGCACAAGAAATGTGCTCAATAAGTGTATTCTTACTTTTCTCAAACCTATTAGTACCTAGCCCAGAATTTGATGGTTAATAGGTATTTGCTGGATAAAACCACAGGATAATTGGCTGAGACCCAAACAACCTTGGTTCTAATCCCAGATCTGCTACTAATTGATAGTGTGAACTTGGATAAAACATTTCACTTCTCAGACTTTCTATTTCTTCATCTATAAAAGAAGTGTATTAAAACATAATTTTTAAGATCTCTTCTAACTTAATATTCTATCATATATAAAAATTCTTCTGAAATTCTTGCTCTAGCATATCATTTTGCCACTTAAGGTCATTCCCATTTGAGTCCAAACTTCCCTTTATAGCAAAATGTCTTGCTATTCCCCCTTGTGTGGACCCTTGCTTCAAACAAAGCTAGGAGAGGTAATAAAGTTTGATATTATGTGATTTTGAATATTATCCCCAGCATGGATGAAGAGAAATTGACACATTCACTGTTAGGGGGATGATAACTCTCTTACAAGATAATTTGGCAAAATACTTACCACAGTATCACTTATTGTGTGTGTGTGTGTGTGTGTGTGTGTGTATAAAGATAAATATAACCTAAACATCCAGTAATAGGGGACTGATTGAATAAATTATTGTGAACCCACATAGTGGATTATTTGGAAGCCATTGAAAAGAAGGACGTAGTTGTAGATATCCTAACATGGAAAAATACCCTACCTAGATTACATTCTTAATTTTTTAAAAAGCCATCTACGGAAAAATGTACAGTGTTACATTTATTCATTCAATTAAATACCTTCCATGTACCAAGCTCCAGGGTATACACTAGGTTTACAATGATGTATATCAAGATAGGCATAGGTGATCCCTGACTCATGAAGCTGTGTACATGTATGTAACCAAATATGCATGTTTATGAAGATTTTGTTTCTATAGAAAACAATTACAATTAGAAGGATGGGATAGAGGGAGACCATCACTTTTTAATTCATACACTTTGGTGATATTTAACTTGTTATAATATGTTATTTATATTCTCCATTTACATACTCTAAAAAGTTATTTATATACTCCATTACTGGTCTTTCCATTAATGTATCCTCTGAAGTAGTGAAAAGATGGAGACCTGTGGAGTATAATCAATGAAAGGCAGGCATCCAAGCATGCCTGTTTGGATTTTTTGCTTATCATTGAAAATTCTTCTATCTCCTCAGTGCCATTATGTTTTTTAAAATACCATATTTCCTTCCTTTATTTCTACATTTTCTAAAGTTCATGTAATTACTGTATATTAATGTTATGATGGGAAGGGAACCCTAAAATTCATGTGAGAAAAATCCACAACACACCATTATTCTTTCCTAAGGACCATAAAACCTTAGAGTCAAAAGAGACTGTGGAAGTCATTAAATTCAATCTTTTCCATAATTAAGAAAGTTTTGTAACATCTCTCATATTTTATTTTCATAGTAATTGAAAGGCTGGTGTGTTAAAATTAGAGACTTCTGCTCTTCAATTTCAGACACTGCTAAGAAAAAGAAAAGAAAAGCTACAGAATGGGAGAAAAATCTTTGCAAAACACCTATCTGTTAAAGGACTAGGATCCAAAATATACAAATTCAAACAACAAGTTAAAACCCAACATTAAGAAAGCAAATAACCTGATTATTAAAAATGATCAAGCTCTGGCTGGTTAGCTCAGTTGGTTAGAGCAATGTCCCAATACACCAAGGTTGCAGGTTTGATCCCTAGTCAGGGCACATAAAAGAATCAACCAACGAATGCATAAATAAGTGGAACAACAAAATTGATGTTTCTTGCTCTCTCTACCCCTTTCTCTCTGAAAATCAATAAATGCATTTTAAATAAAAAATTTAAAAACTAGCAAAAGATCTCATCAAAGAAGATGTATGGGAGGCAAATTAACATACAAGAAGTTGCTCAATGTCATATATCATCAGGGAAATGCAAATTATAACACTGAGATACTGTTGGGGACCGCTCTGTATCTCTATTGATACTTTCTCTGGGGCATTACATACCTCTGCTCTTACAGGTGAATCAGCCAAGGACATTCAGGCCCATTGGCTTGAGGCTTTTAGCAATCTGGGATGTCCACCACAAATTAAAACTGACAATCGACCAGGGTATATAGCCCGATCCACTCAAGATTTCTTACAAAGATGGAGAATTCAACACAAAACAGGCATCCCTTATAATCTCACAGGCCAAGCAATTGTTGAATGTGCCCATCATACTTTTAAAACTTCTTAACAAACAAAAAAGGGGAAGCCAGGAAACCTCTCTCAGAAACCTGATAATGCTGGCCATGTATACTTACAATTTTCTTAACTG